TCAGGATCTTGGGCATGCACGCACATGCACCTGGTGTGAGTTTTAAGCCACTGAGTCTGGGACGCAAACCATGGTCGACTACATGGGAGTCCAGCAGCATAGCCATTACGCTAACTGCTGGTCCCCAAAGTTAAATAATTTTAAAAAATTATTTATTTAACTTTATTTATCTATTTTTAATTTGATCAGAGAGGGACAGAGTGAGAGTGAGACAGACAGAGAGAATGAGAGAAAGTGAGAAAGCAAGTCGCCAAGTCTGGGACTCGAACCATGGTCAGCCAGCGTCCTTAACCATCACACCATCTACTGGCCCAAGTTAAATAATTATTTAAAAAAAAGAAGAGTAGTTGCTCATTAAACCTATAAAGAATGTCAAAAGTGAAAGATTGAAAAAGGTCCTCCCATACACTGTTGCCAAGAGTAGAGATTGATATAATCCCTTTGCCAGCTAATAAAGCAATACCTACAAGAGGAATAATCATCCCTTTTGACCTGTAATTAATTCTATGAATATACATGCAAAAGGACCTTTTCTTTTTCTTTTCTTTTTTCTTTTTCTTTTTTTTTTGGAGAGGTTTTTGCTATAGGGCACATGCATTCACCAGAAAGAGAGAGAGAGACAGAAAACGAGAAATCCCCTAGGGGGATGGCCACACTGCAGTCAGTCCCTTCTCTCCTCTCCTCTTGGGATCTTGGGCCCTCACACACACATGCCCAGCGTGAGTGTAAGTCACCGGGTCCAAGACTCCAACCGCAGCTGACTACATTGGAGTCCAGCGATGTAGCCATTACACCATCTGCTGGTTCCTTTTTTTATTTTTTTCTTTTTCTTGTTTTAAGAGTTTTTTTGCCTTAGGGTGCGTGCATTCGCTGGAAAGAGAGACAGGAAGAATGAGACGTCACCTCCAAGGTGGGGGTGGCCATGCTACAATCTCTTCTCATTCATTCTCCTCCTGGGATCTTGGGCATACACGCACCTGTGCCTTGCATGAGTTTCAAGCCCCTGGGTCCAAGATTCAAACCACAATCAGCCACGTGGGAGTCTAGTGACGTAACCACTACGCCCCCTATTGGCTCCACTAAATGACCTTCTTATAAGTTAAATATTAACTATGTTTGAAATAGCAAATATAATTAGGAACAACCTAATACCTACCAAAGTGAAATCAGTATGGTACAACCAAATAACAGAATACTATATGATCATTAAAACAGTGAGGATACTGTTGAGCACTTATCCCTGAAAAGTGAAAATTTATATTCATAAAAGGGCCTGTATATGAATATTTATAGTAGCTTTTTTCATAATAGCCCAAAATTTAAAACAGTGCAGTTTTCCTTCAGAGTGGGTGGATGGATAAATAAAACTGTGATGCATCCATACCTGGAATACTATTCAGCAATAAAGGAATTTACTACTGGTACACAAAACCATATGGATGAATTTTTAGGAAATTATGTTAAATGAAAAAAGTCAATTCCAAATGTATGATTCCACTTAAATAACTGTATATAAGATTCTATTCTTTTATGTAACATTATTGAAGTGACAAATTTATTGAAGAGCAGGTTGCCAGAAATTAAAGAGGCAGTGGGAGTAGGAGGGAAGTGGTGTACCTATAAAATGCAACACAAGAGGTCCTTGGTGTGTTGAAATCATTCTGCATCTTAACTAGAGCCATTTTAATATCCTGATTGTGATACTGTAACAGTTTTAAGAGAGGCTTCCATGAGGGAACAGTACATAAAGGGTAGAGGGAAGTTTTCTGTCTTAATTAAAATAGTATGAATCTACAGTGATCTTAAAATTAAAAGTTTTTTTTTTTTTTGGTTTTTGCTATAGGGCATGTGTGCTCGCCAAAGAGGAGAAAGACAAGAGAGATATATACAGAGGGAAAGTGAAAAATCACCTCCCGGGGGGATGGTCACTCCACAATTCTTTTTCCTAACCAACTGAGGTTTACCTGTTGCATAATAAGCCACCTAACATCTTTCAGGTAAAAAAAATACTAAATTTGAATAAAGATATCACAAAATGAATTAGAGCCCAATTTAGCTTTGGGGAGGGAACATAATTCTATTCAATTAAGGAAAACATTTTTATAGATTATTTTTAACACCCATCATGCCATGAATTCATAGGGAATAGGTTCCAGTAGCTCAGACTCCTTTCCATTGGTTCTCACAAAGTATGCTTCTCTGGGTGGAGCAGGTTGGCGCTTTAGTTGAACCCAGGTACCTTTCTCTTTGGCTTCCTTCTTTTTCTGGTCATTTTCCTTCGCACGTTTTAGGAAGCTATCTCTGCTCTTAGAATGCTTAATATGCTCAATATGCACATAGATTCTCTTGGCAAGAATTTTGCCCTTAACTTGTTTGTTCACAACAATGCCAACAGCATGCTGGGTAACATTGTAGACTCTTCCAGTTTTGCCTTGGTAGTATTTGTGAACAGTACCTATTCCCTTGATGCTACAATATTAACTTTCTTGTAGATTTTCATGTATATATTGCCAAAGGAAACACTCCATGTTTTCTAAAAGGCCTAGAGAACATGTATTGGTTTCTCTCCACTTACCCTTTGTGTGCGTCATTTTAGTTAATTATTGGAAGATGACAGTTCTGGCCAAAAGCTCTCAATGTTTTTTAAAATCAGTTTTCTTTTATACCAGAGAACACATGTATGTGTAGAAAGGAGGGGAATAAATCAACCCCAAATGGGGCATCCGTCATGCTGCAGTCCTTCTTTTTTTTTAGTTCTGTATCCTGTCAGGATTGTACGCACACCTCTATGTGCCCAGCATGTTTTTCAAGCTACTACATCTGGGGCTCAAATCCTGGTTGGCCATGTGAGATCCGGCTTCCCCTGCATAGCTCTTAACTGCTGTTCTATGGGGTTGGCCTGTTGAAATACAAGGTTTTATTAGATCCTGAATTGCCACATATTTTACAGTGGTTTGTAGTATGTTTCATTGAGATTTTACACAGGCACACATACACATACACATATGTACACATATATATTCATACATATATTACGTATACATATGTATATATATATCTTTGTGCCAGTATCATGCTGTTTTAATTTTTTGTAAAGAATTATTTTATTTGGGACTAGCAGTTAGCATAATGGCTATGTCGCTGGACTCCCATGTAGTCGACTATGGTTCAAGTCCTGGACCCAGTGGCTTAAACTCACGCCGGGCGCGTGTGCGTGCGTGCCCAAGATCCTGAGAGGAGAATGGAGGAGAAAGGACTGTGTCGTGGCCATCCTCTCTGGGGGGTGATTTCTTGCTTTCTATCTCTCTGTCTCTCTCTTTCTGGCTAGCACACGCACCCAATAAGAAAAAACCTCTCCAAAAAAAGAAAAAAAAAGAATTATTTTATTTAACGTTTTGATTAATTTATTGATTTTTATTGGACCAGAGAGGGACAGAGAGAGAGAAAGAGAGAGAGAGAAGGCGAGAAAGCAAGCTGCCAGGTTTGGGACTTGAACCACATCGGCTATGTGAGAGTCCAGTCCCTTAACCACCACACCACCCACCTGCTTGCTGGCCCTGCTATTTTTTTTTTATTTTTTTTTTTTTTTTTGGAGAGGTTTTCACTATAGGGCGCGTGTGCACGCCAGACAGACAGAGGCAGAGAGACAGAAAGCGAGAAATCACCCCCCCAGGGGGATGGCCACGCCGCAATCCCTTCTCCGTTCTCCTCTTGGGATCTTGGGCATGCACGCATACGCACCCAGCGTGAGTTTTAAGCCATCGGGTCTGGGACACAAACCACTGTCAACTACGTGGGAGTCCAGTGACATAGTCATTACGCTAACTGCTGGTCCCACTATTTTAATTTTTTTATAGATATGTAAATATGTTTTTCTTTGGGTGGGAGAGGTTTTTGCCATAGGGTGTGTGCGCTCTCCAGAAAGACAGAGAGACAGAAAACGAGAAATCACCCCCTGGGGGGACGGCACACCGCAGTCCCTTTTCCTCCATTCTCCTCGAGATCCTGGGCATGCATGCACACATGCCTGGCATGAGTTTAAGCCACCAGGTCCGAGACTCGAACTGCCATCAACTACATGGGAATCCAGCGACACAGCCATGACGCCAACTGCTGGTCCCAATATGCTAATTTTTGAGAAGGGTTTTGTGTATGTGTGTTTGTGATTTTTTTGGGGGGATGCTGTTCTGTTTCATGGGTCTCTCTATCGTTACGCTAAAAATTGAAATGTTTTAATTATAGATTAAACACATTTTTCTATATTGTTAAAACACTTTTTCAGGGCCAGCCCTATAGCAATAGTGGTCAAGGGAGCCAGATCCCACGTGGCTGATGACAGTTTGAATACAAGCACCAAGTGTCTTGGAAAACATACTCGGTGCCTATGTACACAAAATCCCGACAGGCAGAGAACGGAAGTAGAATGCATTGTGGCATAACCATGCTCCATTGGGGAGTGCTTTCTCCCTCCTTCTCTCTTTCTGTCCCTTTTTTGGTGAGTGTATGTGCCTTGTGTCCACAAAAGAACAATTTTTTTCAAGGAAATTAGGTAAAGTAATGGATTATAAGTATCCTATAATTTACCTGATCATGTCTAGATTTGTAGATTTAGTTGCTTTTAATTTTATAATTAGAGTTGATGTTATTAAAGTTATCTTTTTTTAAAGAATTACTTACTTTTTGAATAATTATTTTATTTAACTTTATTTCTTCTTCTTCTTCTTCTTCTTCTTATTATTATTATTTTCCAGAGGGAGGGGAGGAAAGGGAGGAAGCAAGCCACCAGGTCCGGTACTTGAACCACGGTCAGCCATATGGGAGTCCAGCACCTTTAACCACCAAGCCACCTGCTGGCCCCTATTTTTATTTATTTATTTATTTATTTATTTGGAGAGATTTTTGCTATAGGGCACGTGTGCTCTCCATAAAGACAGACAGAGAGACAGAAAGCAAGAAATCACCCCCAGGGGGGATGGCCATGCCCCAATCCCTTCTCTATTCTCCTCTTGGGATCTTGGGCACGCACACACACTCACCTGGTGTGAGTTTAAGCCACCGGGTCTGGGACTCCGACCACAGTCAACTAAATGGGAGTCCGGCAGCATAGCCATTACGCTGTTGGTCCCTTATTTATTTTTTTAAACTTGACCAGAGAGAGAAGGAAAGCGGGAAAGAATCCACCAGGTCTTGGACTATGATCTGCAGTTGGCCATGCAGGAAGCCAGCACGCCAACCACCATGCCACTTGCTGGCCTCCTTTTTTTTTTTTTTAATTTGCCATAGGGCACATGCTTTCACCAGAGAGAGAGGGAAAGTGAAAAAGCATTCCCTAAGAATGATGGCCACACCACAGTCTCCTTTCCTTCATTCTGCTCTATGGATTTTGGGCATGCACGCACACAAGCCTGGCATGGTTTTCAAGCCAAGCCACTGGATCCAGGGCTCAAACTACCTAGTTGACTATGTGTGATCCATCTGCCACAGGTTGGCCCTAAAGATGATCTTATTCGGGACCAGCAGTTGGCGTAGTGGCTATGTCGCTGGACTCCCATGCAGTTGACCGCAGTTCGAGTCCTGGACCCGGTGGCTTAACCTCACGCTGTGTGTGTGTGCGTGCGTGTTCAAGATCCCGAGAGGAGAATAGGGAACCAGCAGTTAGCGTAATGGCTATGTCGCTGGACTCCCACGTAGTCGACCGCAGTTCACGTCCCGGACCCGGTGGCTTAAAACTCACGCTGGACGCATGTGCGTGCATGCCCAAGATCCCGAGAGGAGAATGGAGGAGAAGGGATTGCGGCGTGA